TTTGTGACTGTGGAAAAAAAATAGAGCAGTTTTTCTGTTGCAAAGAACTCAGAAAGGCCCCAGCAAGTTGGAATGTTTAACACTGTGGATAGCTATTTGACCTGGGTTGAGAATCACTGACATAAAGGATATTGAATCACCAAAAATTAGGGTTAGACGGGGCCTCCGGAGGTCATCTGGTCCAGTGGTTTTCAGCCTCTGTCCTTTCACGGATCCCTAAAAAATTTTGAAGGGGGCACAGACCCCTTTGGAAACCTGTTGTGTACAGCAAACGTAAGTAGATAATTACTGACAAACGGTTGTGTTTAAAAATAAAAATAATATCCACAATAACAATAACACAACCCAAAAAGGTTTTTTTGAGAATTCATTCACATGGCACCAAGGGGGGCCTCTTGGGCCATCAGGTAAAGTCCCCTGCATAGACAGGCTAGATTCCCCCAGATTCCTGCGTCAAAGCCTCAAACGTTCACATATATAGATGTGCCGTGAAGGTGAAAAGTCGGGGCACAGATTGACCTAGTAGACATCTCTATGCCCCACCGGACTTTTTCTGATGGCCTTGCATCAGTTTTGACGGACCTAGCCTTGCACTAAAAATGTATGCAGTTCTGATTTTTCCAAATCAAGCTACGCACGCGCGCACGCGTACGTCTATTGGAGTCTGTAGATTGATTTGGCCAGGTCAGCAGGCTGCCCGTCTGTGCTCTGGCTGCTGGCGCTGGGCTGCTGCTGGTGCTCAGCTGGCCTCTAGCTGTGCGGGGAGCTGGAGCAGCAGCAGCACCAGCAGTGCTTCCCTTTTGGGAAGGACCGTCATCTTTACAGCCACCTTTCCTGGACCCCCTATGTGTGCTGGGCACCCACGGACCACGGGTTGAAAACTAGTCCAACCCCCTGCTCAAAGTAGGACCAACCCCAAGGAGGTCATCCCAGCCAAGGCTTTGTCTAACCAGGTCTTAAAAACCTCCAAGGATGGAGCTTCCTCCACCTCTCTGGGTAACCTGCTCCAGTGCTTCACCGCTCTCTTAGTGAGAGAGTTTTTCCTAATATCTAACCTAACTATCTGTTTTCTACTACATTTCAAGTTAACTCCGTTGTCTTATATGACAAAGGATTGTGCTATAGATTGAAACTTCCCAGCTGGACTGAGGGTTTTTAAGTGTAATTTTTTTGTGTTGAAAAACAGTGCAAGTAAAAAATATCAAGAATTCCGAAGCTGAATTAAGGTTGTCCAGGAGTTTAAATGCAGCTTCTTCAAACATATGCATTTTGGCATGCATGTCAAATTACATAATCTCATGCTGGTTTTTTCCACAGGATGCCCGGCTCAAAGGATTCACAGAGCTCTCTGAATAGGCAGCTCTTTGGCATTTCTGTTTTTTTTTTCAACCTTGCTGCATGGTGTGTGGCTCTATGCATTGTTTATTTTACACCATGCAAATTCTGCACTGATTGCAGAATTAATTTCATTATGCTCTTTCCTGTGATCCTGTAACTGTGGCATTATAAATGCAAAGGTAGCCTTATTAACGATTCATATGAGGAGAGATGATTTTATACCCATTTTACATATATTGAATCGAAGCATGGTGATTTAGGTCAAAGCTGTTAAAGGTGTCTGCTAATTTGGGGTGCCCAGTCTGAGATATCGGGGGCTGGTTTTTCAGAGTAATGAATATTGTTACAGCATTTTATCTATTAGGAGCAGAGCTTGGAGAGCAGCAGCAGTATGAGCACTTGGCCCTTCTGAAAATCACACCCTGTTTCTCAGGTTGGGTACAAAGACAATGAGAAACACCCAAATAGTGACTCTGACAGACGTAGGAAGAGAATCCAGTTCTTCGGGGTAACACTGAAGTGCCCAAACCATTAGACCCTCCCATCTCTTGTGGAAGTTTCTGAAGCCTTTTGCACTACAGTACACACTTTGCAATTCCTGCAACAAATGAAGCCTGAAAGTTTCTACTGCTGTCACTCTCCTTCACTTCACAAACATGATTCGTTTCCTGAGCACAGTCAGTCCTATGCACTGGATGGGGCAACGGTCCTGAGAAACAAATAGTGTATGATCACGTAATAAAAGCTGTACAGTAATTAAATGGCGTACCGTAGGATACACACAAGAATGACACGCTTGCATAGGCGGCATTAATTGTAGCGTTCCCTCACCTTTTGTTGGTTGGCTTTGTAGCCTTAATTTCTTTTAATGTGGGGGGGGTGGCTTCGGGTTGTATGTAATAAATATAGGTGTGTGTGTGTGTGTGTGTGTGTGTGTGTGTGTGTTTTATATATATATAAAAAATATGCAATGCTTAAATCTATTTACCTGCAGACCAAGGAAACTTCTTCATTGGCAGCAGAGCAGAGAGAAAAGCTATTATTCATGATGCCATTACTCTGCTAGTACATTAATGGACAATGCATAATGTACTTTCTATTTGACAGCATGTTATAGCAAGTGTGATCATTTTTAGTCTGTATTTATAACGGGGGTCACTGGCCTTTTTATTCTTTGGAGTAGGAAGGATTTTTTTTTTAATATTTCATCTTTGAATTCCAGAATACCTATCTATAAAAATATATAATATGAAAGAAAATCCTGAATGAAATTCAAAGGAAGTTATGGCCTAAGAAACGCATGGTAAAGTCAATCTAAGATGACAAATGATTTCTTGATAGCTTGCGTTTAGAGTAGGATTAAAACCTCTTGGCATATGTAGCAGCTCAGTTGATCACTCAGATTGCAATTAAAAAGTAGAACAAGTACACTCAGAATATTGTCTTTGTGTCAAAAATGTGCCTTCATGCCTGAAAATGATAAAAAATTACAATCGATCCTTACAACTGTTGTGTTCATCTTTATTGATCAGGCACAAGAAAGATAAATCGCAGCCCAAATAAGATTATAGTAAATGTTAGCATCGTAGGGGACTATAGGTTGATAGAGAGCTATTCATCATCTCAAATGGTGACCTGTCCACACTCACACCATAGTCTGCTGTCTAATCACATACCTATTGATTTTATCTACATCCAAGAAACCTGGATGTGACTGTCATTGGACAACTAAGATTGCTAAATGCAAAGGGGTCACTGGTGTGAAGAGGATTTCATTTTCATTTTCTTACTGGCCAACAATGATTTATTAAAAAATAAACTACCTTTGGTCTCATGCATGAAACCTTGACTTCAGTACCAATGAATTATTAGTACTGACCCTCAGATGCAAGAGTGCAGTGGACCACCATACGCTCTGTGATCTTTTTGTGCCCTTTAGACTCAGTGTATGTTACACAATTTGTTATAATTTGCAGCAAAGTATTAGACTTGAAACACAATTTCACCCTTCTTCTGAGCTTAGTATTTGTTAAATGATTTCTGTATACCTCAAATTCATAATTTATTAGGAAAACCCTTGGAAGAAGCGTGGCTCAAATGAAAAGAAAAAAAAAGTCTGTTCTTGCCAGGTGGAGCTGCCTCTTTTGGTACTAAGTGAAATATGTTGAAGGTTTCGTCTTAGTCTCTAGTCCAGCAACTGATTTTTGATGGTTTTTCTTTTCACTAATTTGCTACAGATAACCGTTGATTGGGGGGTATAGCCTGACCCACTGATTGTGGACAGCAAATCACCTTTTTGATGGGGGGATAGGGGGTGTCCTCTCCAGTTCAAGACTGAGGCCTTTACAAGAACAGTTTAGGAAAATATTTTTTGTCTCTCTCTCTCTCTCTCTCTCTCTCCTTCAATCTTGAAACTATAAAAGAAGAAAATCCAGAATTACAAATTCCATAGGCTGTACTGTGACCATCTGTGCAGGTTAAATATTGCCATAGTATCCACAAAACAATTAGCCTTGCTGTGTAACATTGTTATGCATTGTTAGAGTTTAAAAATGTTTAGTTTCATAATTGCATATGTATAGCCATGAAGATTTTATTGGCATGCTAGCTTGATTTTTATTTATTTATTTATTTATTTATTTTTGGTTTCCCACATTATTTAAATGTGGCAAATGCAAAAATGGGTTCTGGTAAGTGCTGATGAAACCTCTACGTCGCTCCAAGTCCTCATGTGTTCTGTAATAGGTCCCACATGTTAAAGAGTTTTGAACAGCTTTATTTAACTTTTTATTCTTCCAGCTGTGAAGCCAGGTGCCTTAGTTATACTGTCTTAAGTCCAACTGTGTTAAGGCTCAGATGGAGCCATAACAAGCTTTTTAAAAATACCTAACATATATTATCTAGACACAAAACGTCAGAACTTTATAGTCAGTTGTCTCGGAATGTGTATGTCCCACTGTGAAGCCTTGACATATTTAGTTACAGAAAAGTTTTACTTCCCTGAAGCTGAATCTTGCCTGTCCTGCGTTTTGGAAACGGTTGATTTGGTGGAGCAGGAAGAGAGAAAAGTATTCCAGGATTTAGGGGAGATGGAATTTGTTTCTGGAGCAGATTGATTTAAAGAAGAAAACTCAGTAACTCAGAAGTTTGGGATGTTAAAATAAGTCCCAAGGAGATGAATGAGTAAGGCAGTGATAGGAAAGGATGCATTGTTAATTTATCATATGACAGAAGTTTATGACAAGAATACCACATCCACAGAATATGAGAGGGATATATGTCTGAGCATACACAAGCATTTATACCATCACGCAAAAATAAGGATTTAGTTTGTACTCACTCAGTCGTATAAAAACTTCAGATTTCCCAATCGGAGAAACAGCCTTGTAATCGCTATATCATAATTATTCTCATTCCAGTTCCTCCTTAACCCCCCCCAACTTTTTTGAAACATCCTTACTCTAAGATGAAGTGTGCACCAATAAAGTCTGTGCTTTCTTCTTATGTTTTAATTGTCCTACCTTTTATTTGTCAGAATTAGACTGCGAGTAATTTATTGCCAGAACTTTAACTCTTTGCACATTCCCTACAGAGACAGATATGTGTGCGCTAATCTATAAATACCAGGTGGATCACAAAGTTTTGCTTTTCCCTCTTTTCAGAGTGCACAGTTCTACAAAGTGACTACGGAGCAGTACCAAAAAGCAGCCAATGAAGTGGAAGCTAGATTCAAGTAAGATCTTTATTTTTGAGGATGTGAACGTGATGAATTTCTGTTCATGTTGTGGTAGTGTTAGAGTGATCCTGCAGCTTGATGGTCCAAGAATTATGCGAGACACAAAGATTTATTTGGGGTGATATCTTTTATTACACCAACTGCATGGTTGGAATAAAGTTAGACAAGCTTTTGAATGCAAGACGTGCTTCATTCTCCATCTATTCATGTTATAGCAGGCAAAAATTCTGTTCCTGACCTTGCAATATGCTGTGGGTGGGCTGCTTGTTGAAATGACTGAATTTGGGGGAAGGTTGGTATTCAGGCCATAGTACATTACTTGGATAGATCTAGATGCTGGTTCTATGCAAGTGGCCAGTTCTGCCTTCTTTTGGTAAGGTAAAAGCATGGAAGAAAATCGTCCGCACGCATCAGTTTCACTGCGAGTAACAAGTTGGTAAAGCTTATAGAAATACCCATTGGAAAATGAGAGCGCATCACCTCACTTAGACTTCAGACGGCCATCAATTCTGTGAACATCATCAGCAGTCCTAGAAAAGATAGGATGCCCACCAATCCTGTTAAGTCTTGCATGTTTCTTCCGTGACGACATGAAAACACCTGGTCAGTTCGATGGGTCCACGTTGGACACCTTTGAGATGAAAAGCGGAGTGAAGCAAGGATGCGTTTTTGCCCCATGCTCTTGGAATCTTCTTCTTGGGACTCCTGAACTGCGCGTTTAAAGACCTGGGAGGTGGAGCGTATCTCCGCACAATATCGAATGGGAAACTCTTCAACCTAGCATGACTCGAGGCAAAGACTAAAGTTAGAAAGGAGCTTATCAGGGAGCTTCTATTCACTGATGATGCTGCTCTTAGAGCCCACGACAAAGACCTACTCCAAGAACTTATGGATCGCCTTTCAAGAGCTTGTCAGGCATTTGCTTTCATTGTCAGCATAAAGAAAACAGTTGTGCTAGGACAGGATCCATCAAGATCCATCAATCACCCTAAATGAGAACTAGCTAGAAGTAGTCCAGAAGTTCAGCTACCTAGGCGCTACAGTGACCACCGACCTCTCACTGGATGGAGAACTTAATGTTTGTATCAGAAAGACTGCCACCACCTTTAGCAGGCTAACTAAAAGAGCATGGAACAACTGAAAGCTTACCATCAAGACCAAAATGCTACTGTACAAAGCTTGCATGCACAGCACTCTCATGTGGGGTGGGAAAACATGGACAACTTATGCACATCAAGAGAAAAGGTTAAACAGCTTTCACCTGCACAGTTTACACTGCATACTCAACATCAAATAGCAAGATAAAGTTACCAACGCAGAGGTTCTTTAAAGGGCAGATTTACCAAGTGTGACAGCCCTACTCAGACACAACTGTGCTGGCTAAGCCATCTGAGCAGATTGGAAGATGGGCGTATACCCAAGGACATGCTATATGGGGAACTGTTGGAGGGAACAAGAGCATTAGGATGCCCCAAGCTTCACTACAAAGATGCAAGCGCGGTATGAAGGCATTTGGAATTGATCCTGTCCAATGGGAAACCTTGGCGAATGATCGGGACAAGTGGCGGCGGCATCTCCACCAGGGCATTAAAGTCCATGACAGGAATTGGTTCCAACAGCTTGAAGAGAAAAGAGTCTGCAGGAAGCAACCAACCATGACCCATACCCTTGCAACCACTGCCACAGATCATGCAAATCTCGGATTGGACTATTCAGTCACGTGAGACACTGGAAACCATCTATGTCATAGGCTGCAACATCTACCGTCTCTCGCAGACAAAAGGATGCCAACAGCAATAATAGTATTCAGGCCACAGTACATTACAAGCTGCATAAACTGGCAGTATAGTGAGTAATTAGTTTATATGCGACACTTTGTGAGAGAGGGTATAAAAATGTACTTGTTAAACATATATCTTCATTAATGGAGTACCAAAACTTGGGTGTCAACTTTGCCTTCCAGTAGGATTAATTTCATTTGTGTGCAGCATGAAAGGCATTAAAAGTAGCTATTGAAATTTACCTTTAGAAGTGATAGTCAAGTTAGATTATTTTTATTAGTTCTGAGGATGGTGAAATGAAGATACAATAATTGATGGGCCAAAGCAATTCTGACCCTTAGCTTTGTACTTTTCTGTTGCTGCCAATTTGTCTATTAGGCAGACGGCACCATTCATCGTTTTTCAGGTGAGCCTGAAAATAATTTTTTACAGCCCTCACTCTCACCATCAACCAGTAAATGCTTTATTTAAAAAAAAAAAGTACTGTGTCCAGGTTTTTTTGGTGTGGTGTGAAAACCAATGCAGAGCCGACAAACCATCAGTTGCCTAACTGTTCATATTAACATACAAAAGCATAAAATATTAAAACAACCTTAAAGTGAAATAATTATGTATGTTACAGTCATAAAAGCCGTTGTGATTTTGCTATTAATGTTCACTTACAAATTTACCAGTGGTTAAAGCTACCAGCACTACAGACAGAAGTCTTTAATCTACAGGAGCCGGGTTTGGGCTAGAGAAGGAACATCGGTTGACATGATACCATGATTCAGCCGTGTTGGGGATGTCAGAGAATACAACCCTGACTGCTCTATTTCATAATGATCAATGGATCTGTTCGCCATTAATTCACGTAGTCCGTTTTTAAACTTGGTTATACTGTCTGCCTTTACAGCCCCCAGTGGCAGTGGGTTCCATAGCTTAATAATGTGCTACGTAAAAGTACTTCTTGTTTGGTTTAAACCTGTCTCCTGCTCATTCCAGTGGGTGCTCCTTTGTTCTCATATTTTGGGACTTGGTGAATAGTAGTTACCTATTAATGTTATGCACACCCTTCCTGATTTATAGACCTTTGCCATATGCTCTTTCAGCCTTCTCTTTTCCAAACAGAAGAGCCTAGCCTTTCTTGTCTGTCCTGGTCCGGCAGATGCTCTGAACCCCTGATCGTCTTGGGTGCCCTTCTCTAGACCTCTTTCTAATTCCACTACATCCTCTGTGAGATGTAGCGATCAGAACTGCACATGGTATTCAAGATGTGGGTGTACCATGGATTTATGTAGTGCCTCAATGATATATATTTTTTATTTCCTTTTCACTGTTGCACAGTGAGACAGTGCTTTTTGGAGAACTGTCTAAAATGTCTCAGATTTTTTTTTGTTTTTTGTTGCTGAATTGTACAAGTTAGTTCACAGCCCGGCATCGTGTATGTATATTTGAGGTTATTTTTCCTCGTGTGCATTACTTGCCACTTGACACCACTGAAGTTCATCTGCCACTTTTTTACCCACCCATTAAGTTTTGTAAAATTTTGCTGCAGCTCATCTCCATCAGTTTGGGATCTGACTACACAAAATAATTTAATATCATCTGCGAACCGTAAGCTATCTCGCGTGACAAAATTTTGGGCAATACCTATAACATCTGGGAGCTTAAGGGACAACTTTCAAGAATGTTGAAAGTCCTCCTTAGCTAGAGAGGACCAAAGGAGATATGGAAAAAGGGATTGTAAAGTTCTTAAACTTGGTGAGACCATTTTCTCTTAATTGTACCCTTGGAGGAAAATAATTTTAAAGGAATTTTGGCTTTCATATGAAAGTAAGGCAACATAGCAGGCTAATTGATGCTATTATGTCTCAGCTCTGCAGATTATAATACCTACATGTAGACCCTTAGGCTATAAACACAAATGGGTCCTTCAAAGTCAGTTGTCTGTTTTTAGTCATCCACAGATGGCAAGTCCCCTGGTGGGGCTTTGTAACTCTGTTTATCATCAGTAATCTGCAATACTTGTATCCGATTACAGTTTGGCAACAGATCTGAACAGCCCTAAAATGAACTCTGAAATAGGGCTAAAAAAAGTAAAACAAAAACACATGATACAAAAGGAATGAAGACAGAAAGTACTGTATTAAAATTACGGACAGTGTTGCAGCAGGAGAACTCTCCACAGCCTCCGGCAGGTGTTTTGTGGCCTAGAATTTAAACATATCCTTAAGTTTTAAGCCTCTGAATAATTCCACTGAAGGCCATGTTAAAGCATGGATTGTTCTGTTTTTGCAGAGCCAGAAATACGGAGGTTTTGGATCCCAATCTCATTTTATCTGAATTTTTGAAGTTTGTTACATGTAGTCAGATTCTGGTTTTGCTCCTTTGCTTAAAAGCAGGAAAGGGGGAGAGAGGCTGAGTAGAAAGAATTTGTGAATGCAGTAATTCAGTGCATCTCACTGAGAGATATTTGATAATTATCCAACAAGGGATACTTGAAATCAGTAAATTTATCTGTATTTTCCCATATTTCACATTTTCCCTTGTGTTAAAGTCACTTCTTAAAACTGTGAATTTCCGTAGTCTTAGGGGTTTAAACTTAACAGATGTTAGTTAACACAGTCACTTGTGTGTGGTTTGATACATAAATTATGAATGATTTAGTGAAACCTAAAGAAAGATGCTCTTTTGGGTCACCAAGCACTACTTGTGTTCAGTGTAATTGAATATGAGAATCGAGGACAGTTTCAAGCAACAATATTTAAAGAGCTTGTTTAATTGGCTGTAAAAGAAGAATTAAACAGGGTTGAACTGCTAAATTTATAATTCTGTTAACTGCATAAACCAATGCGCTGCATGTCAGTGTGATTTCAAGTTGGAAGTGTGAGATTAATGGAACTAATTGTGGTAATGTTAGGACGCCGCTCCACCTAATTTTAAACATGTCTAGGATTTTTGTTCGTTGCATGCAGATAGCTTGCATTTCAGCTTCTCCTTTTAAACAGAAATGTATTTCTGGAGTTAGAAATAATTACCTCCATGTCCTCCTTGGATTTCTCTTCCCTGGCTCTGTTTAAGCCTTGAAAGTACATCACCTTTAGCTTCAGCAGTCTTTTTGGATAATTTCCCACATTTGAAGGAGAAAACTAAATACATGTATATGTTTATATCAGAGAACTGACAGGTCCTCTGTACTTTGTCTGCAGTACTTACTGATGCCTCCTTAGGTAC